AGCAATTGTTTTTTCTGTACATTATTTAAATGTTTTTTCAATTTTACTTTTTTTTAGAAATGGTGTATTATGTATATGTATATATTATTTAGATTTATAATATTTATAATTTATTTTAATTTTTTTTAGAAATGGTTGTGTATTTGTGACATTGCACTGGTGTCCTGTCATGTAGCTTGTTTACATTCACATAATGCCTAGCAGAGTTCTTTTAAAAATAGCACTTTGTTGATAAAACATATTACATTATCAGTGATCCTCTTGGTTTCTGGCAGCAAACAGCATGCGGGGTATTATATCAGAGAATAGAGTTATGTTCTAAATTGGGTTGAAGCCTGTCCCTGGGGGGTTTTGCATACAGATCTGTTGCTTCCTGCTTTTAGTCACCTATAAAAAAGGCTCCTTCTGTCTGACCCGGGGACCTTCTCTTCCTTCTTCTGCTAAGTATGACCCTGCATTTCTTAACTTCTTAAAAACACATTCATGTAACGCTTCCTTCCCTCGGAAAAAGGATCTGAGTCACTAAAACAGAACACTGCCCTGCTGACCCTGATCGGAGGGGTTATGGCTCCTTCTGTCGTACTACAATCCACCGTCTATCTATTGTAACGTTTTTTCAGTGACGTATACCTATAGAAACCACTAATAATGTGCAGCGTGGAGTAACTCTTAGTAACCAATCAGATTTTCATTTCTTGTAGTCAGATCAGTAAAATACTATCTGGCAATTGTTGGTCATAACTGGTGGCAGTCTTACGTTTTTGGTGCCCACCAAATGAGAACATTGATCGGACATATTAGAAAGTCTGTCCTAATCACTGTTGTTTTTCAACAGTGACGAGGGAGGGAGCATGGAGGCGGCTTCCCGGCCAATCGGGAAGCCGTGCAACGCGTCATTACACGGTGCCAGGCTTCCTGATTGGCCAGGAAGCCGGCTCCATGCTTTCTCGTCACCTGTTGATGAGGGTGCATGGAGACTCCTTCCCTGCTAATCGGGAAGCCGGGTGGCGGGTCTTTACACACTGCCAGGCTTGCTTATTGACTCTTCCGGTATCGGCATTCAGTATCGACGAGTACCGAGAAAAAAAGATATCGAACTCGTACTCAATACAGAAAAAACGGTATTGGTGCTATTAAGAATCATCACCCCTCACCCAAACTTCCATTTAGCATGGAAGGTCCACTGTAAGAATATTTCCCTCTTCCAAGCTCTCCACTTTGGATGGAAGGTCCACTTTAAGAATCATTACCCTCACCCAAGCGTCCGTTTAGCATGGAAAGGTCCACTTAAATAATCATCACCTCCCCCAAAACTCTCGGTTTAGAATGGAAGGTCCACTTTAATACTTTTCACCCTTACCCAAACTCTCCATTTGGGATTGAAGGTCCGCTTTAAGAATCCACCCTCACCCTAACTCTGTTTTGCATGAAAAGTTGGCTTTGAGGATCACCCTCACCCAACCTCTCCATTTGGAATGGCAGATCCGCTTTAAGAATCATTACCTTCAACCAGACTCCCATTTAGCAAAGAAGGTCCTCTTTAAAAATCATTAACCTCACCCAAAATCTCTGCCCGTTATGAAAGGTCCACTTTGAGAACCATCACGCTCACCCAAATTTTCAGTTCGGCATGAAAGGTCCAGTTAAAGAGCCATCACACTCATCCAAACTGTCAGTGTGATCTATAAACAATGGGTGAAGTAAGTGCATATTTGGCATTGGTAACGAGTTCATTAGATGGTGTCGCTGTGCTGTGACGGTGTTGTATTCAGGACGACATAGCTCTGCTGTTGGATAGATAAATGTTGTTAACATACCGTTTGTGTTTGCAGAGCATTATAAAGGCATATTTATCACACCATAACTGTCAGACTTCTTTATGTTCTCTTCTCTCTTTTTAATCATTTCCAAATTCCTCTTCAGCTGGCAGGCGGGGTGATCCTCGGAGTAGCACTTTGGCTTCGACATGAGCCCAAGACTTCTAACCTCCTGATCCAACAAATCGGGGACAAACAAGTTCCAGGAACATTTTACATTGGTAAGTTCTATTTTCTCGTACTCGCCCAAATGCTCCCGATACCGGAACTTCTGCTATCAGTCATTACATGCTACCCGGCTTCCTAATTGGCCCGTGAAGCCGACTCCATACTCCCTCATCACCAGGAAACATTGAGCTGGCTTTCCAGCCAATCAGAAAGCCAGGCAGTGTGTAATGACTCGCCGACCAGGTTCCTTCCAGGTCAGGAAGGCGGACGGCAAGTCATTACACGCACCCGGCTTCCTGATTGGCCAGAAAGCCGGCTCCATGCTTTCTCGTGACGTGGTAGCATGGAGCCGACTTCCCGGCCAATCAGGAAGCCAGGCGCTGTGTAATGACTCGCTGCCTGGCTTCCTGATTGATCAAGAAGCTGGCCAATCAGGAAGCCTTTACACGCCACGCAGCTTACTTAATGGGACTTCCATCTGTATCGGTGCATCCCTACCTTATACCTTTTTCCAATTTGGCTAGGAGGTCATTACTATGCCAAAAACCTTACGATTTATAACACTGAAGCAATATGTGTTTTTCGGTTGGGTGGGGTTGGGGGTAAACAATTACGTATTTTGGTGCTATTGTCTTGCAAGAGTTATTCAATCTCCTGTATTTAAAGGTTAAAAATAGGTAGGGGGGAAAACAAATTAAAAATCAGTGGTCGCATTGAATTGACAAGACTCATGTTCTATGATTTTACCCGACACGTATGATGTTCCTTGTACAATACATGGTAAAGTTGTATACAAATGAAAAGGAGGTCAGGCTAGGGGGTGTAAACACCCACTCATACACTTTAATAGACCAAAAGGGAGGAAATAAGTGAATTGTTCGGGTTTGCGTACACTTTAATGGGATTGTACTTCGCCAGGGTGCAGTGTGTCTGCTCATAGAAGCACCTTGAAGTCTATTTGTGCAAATATTGGCATGACAGCAAACAGTATACGGTAGTATGCATTGAATACCCTTACAGCAACATTGACGTCTACTCATCATTATTTTTTCCCCAGGTATCTATATAATCATCGCAGTCGGCGCTGTCATGATGTTTGTAGGTTTCCTAGGATGTTATGGCGCCATTCAGGAATCACAGTGTCTGCTGGGAACGGTAAGTCAGCATGCCCCATATTGGGTGATAGTGTTGCTGGGGAGAACAGACTCACTTAGAGATTGCCCTAGCGCTGCAGTGTCTGCATTCCTTTACTTAATGAGTCCAGCATATTCCAGACACGGCCGTTCACTTATTACCAGCAAGACGGAGAGTGCTTCACGCAGAAAGGTGATAAATCCTCAGAGGTCTTAGCCATCCACATACACCGTGTATAAATCCAGGCCAAGTCAATGGAGACTGAGAGGATGATTTGTATCTATGATGTCAGCTTCCCTCCTCCCATCTTCTTAGTTATTAATCCACCTAATAACCCTGTGTGCTTTTAAAGTGTACCTGTCATTTAAACATCATCATGTTAGCTTAAAGGGTATCCCTGACTAAGTGTAATATGCACATAATGGGTTTTTTAAATCAGTCTGAACCACTTCTGGGACCTGTCAGTCTTTGGTCTGGGAGATTCCTCATAGATTTGTATGGGGGTTCAATGCAGAGCCAGGCTAAGTGTGTTCAAGCCTGGAAATTCACTAGGAACTTGGGACATTGTTAGTAATTCTGCGTAATCTAATATTAATAATGTTCTAAACTACATATTGTATTCCCGCAGTTCTTCGCTTGCTTAGTAATCCTATTCGCATGTGAGGTAGCCGCTGGGATCTGGGGATTTGTAAACCGCGAGCAGGTAAGAGCCGTATAATAATAAAAATCAATGTTTCTTGTTTAGTATTAATGCGTTCTTGTACCTGAGGGGCTTATTCAATGAAGAGTGCTAATTCATAAGTGTAGTAAACCATTGTGACCAATCAGAATTCATTTTGTACCGGCTTGACCTGAGCTGAGTACATTTTGATTGGATGCTGTAGCTTACACTGCTCAAACCTATACCATTTAAAAAGTGTGTTGGCTGCTACTTTTGACCTAATGGAAATGCTAGTTGCCTGGATGTTAATGCTGACCCACGGGTTTTAAGATTTTCTAATTAACAGACACAGAACAGGTATGTAGAAAGTTGGGGGAAAGTCAACAGTCCTAATCTGCATGAGCAGAGCTATAGTCACCTCCTTTCCCTTTTTTAATTTCTAAATAGCATACTTTACTAATTAAGTCTGTTTTATGTAATTACTAAGGGCAATGACACACTACACAACCCGCCAGTGGCAGGATCGCTAATGTGACACGGCTCTAAGGATTATCTGTATCCACTTTGAAAATGATGGTTGGAATCTGACCGTGGTGCCTGTAGAGGAGCACTTACGTGAGACTGTTTAATACATGATTCCAGGAAATGTGTAATTGTTGTGTTTTTACCTCTCCAATCCAATTAAACCTAGTGGAATTGGTATTTGATGCATACAGCATCTTGGCCCTGTCAGCCTTGAATTATAGAGTAACGCCAAGGTATGAAGCTTCTGTAGTGCTAAGGACTCATGTACACCAATTTTTGTTTTTGTACTTGTTATCTCTTATACAAGGCAATGTATATGTAAAAGCAACTCGCATACAAGTCAAAACAACTCAAAATCACCTGAAGGTACTGCTTTGACTTACTTGAGCCCTTAGGGTCCCTGTTTTTTCAGGACCTACCCTGTCATCCATTTCCCATTGGACTACTGTTGCAGTTCAGTTGGAAGTGGTTGAGGGGATTATTATAGTATAATGGGGGTGGAAATTTTTTAAGTTTTAAGCTACTTTAATGTATGCTAAGAAAAGGGCCTGATTTCTGCTTAGTCAATATAACCAATAGCATTAGATGGCATCACTTCCAGTAGTGGAAAATCACCCACATATGCTGCATATTGTTAATGCAAGTGCAATTCAGCTCGGTCCTTATTGTTGCTGTACCTACACAGTAAGTGATGTGTTGGGGCTTGGTGGGAGCCCGCGCACAAATTTCACTGTCATACCCCATATCCTTGCCCAATCAGTTGTGACAGGGGCATTCCTTGCCCCGCAGGCACACACCACAAAGGGGCAATGGACCTGGAGGAAGGTGGGGGGGGGAGTTGTCATTGACAGTTTTGCAAAGACTCAGGCAAATTCAGGTGCACTTGGTTCGCACCACATGACTACTACACAATTTATGCATTTTAATTGGTGCAATAATGTACTGTGTACTTACAGTTCACTCACCCTGGGTCTGTACACCTAGAATTCAATTGCTGTGACAGTTCACTTTATATTCTAGTTGTCAGGACACAGAGTTGTCACACCACCTAGGACACAGAGTTATCTCTAAAAGCCTCATCATCCTGGACCTTGGCCTGTCTTGTTGGTCTTATGACATAGATCTTGTTAAGCTGATAAGGTCTTCCACAGTGGCAGGAGAGATAGATTAGTGTTTCCACAAAGGTTGCAACCCATGGAAGTAGCAGTACTGACCTGTAGCTGGGGTGATCATGAATACAGGAATAGTTTGTAGCAGCAAACTACCTGGGATGAGTGACCATGGTTGATTCTTGCTATGCTCCTATATGAGAGGATTTGCTTGCTGCACAGACATTGGGTGCACCACCATGGCAGGTACCCGAGAGTTAGTATACGGTCATCTTCCAGTTTCATCTAGTTAAAAGTTAGATTTTCCTTTGAAGGTCCATACTGCACTGGGGGAGAGGGAGAATTATTGTTTGGGCAATGCAGACTGAAAGAAACAGTTCAGACACTTTGATAAAATGAGGTTCTGTGATATTGCAGCTATAAACTCGCCATTTTCTCCTCTTCAGGTGTCGAAGGAGATAAAACAGTTCTATGATGAAGCTTATGAGCAAGCAAAGAATGGCAAGAAAGAAGAGAAAGACCAGGCTAGACCCGTGGTTAAAGTCTTCCATGAGACAGTAAGGCATACTTTTCCTTGAAAAGTGGAACATATGGTACACTAATGGGTTTACCTGTACTGAGGGATATGGCTGCAGTCTAGAACCCACAATAAGTAAACAGCAAACTGCCGGCCTTTGATGAACTTCAAGTCCCATCATGACAAAGTTTTGGGGGTGCTCCTACTATTTTTAATGGAACCCCAACAATCATGGACGCAGAGCGAGCCCTATTTTTTGCGTTTGCAGTGGAACACAACGCTGGCAAAGTCTTGCCACGCGTTTGATCACACTTCGGGCGGGGGGCGGCGTGGAATCTGTGTCATTGAATTCAATGCACCGCCACGCCCCCTCCCGCCCCAAAATGCGGGGAGAAGTTTCTTAGCGATCGCGGTGCGTTCCAGCAGCTACCGCTCTGGAACGCACACACTTCCGTTGTGAACAAGCCCTTAGAAGTCAGCAAGAAGTTAATTGACTAAAAAAGTTGAGGATCTGTGTACAATGCAACTAAAAACATCAAGCAGAGTTTCTGTAAGTTTATAAACTACGGCACAAATTATCTTATTCTGTACAATACAGAGAATGTCTCCTCGTAATCTGTCCGCTGAATCCCCCACTTCCAGCTGACCATATGTTCTGATGAACTTCTGGTTTCGAAAACATGAATTGTATAACATTACTGCTGTTCTTTTCACTTTAGGAGAACCTATGAGCTAGAAATATCTAAAAATACACTTGGAGTTTGTTTTTATATGTAGAGTGCCCTCTTGTGGTTGGAGAACTCCAACCAGAACCTTTTTTTTTTGCTTTGGATAGATTGGGTAAGCGTTCTAATATTCTCTAGTTTTTATTGCTGTCTGTGAACTCATGGTGGAGATTTCTTTAGGGACAGGGCATCAGAGGGACTGTAATCCGTGACAAATCTCTACAATAAGGACAGAGACAATACCAAAAAATACAATTTATAGCACACAGGGCAAAGGTTAGAACCTATGGAAGATAATTTTTTCTGCTTTCTGTGCCTTTATGTCTTCGTAACCCCTGGTCTCTCATTCTTGTGCTGTCAGTTTTGACACAAAGGTGCAAAATCCCTAATGAAGTCACAAACAGCAATGCAATCCCTAACCCTATTAAAAATTTACAGTCTTGGATGGAGTTGGGCTTTAAAGAAGAACTCTTATTAACCCTTTCAGGGGGCTACCCCCGCACTATAAGGCCTCATTCACACGAGAAAAGGCGGGCACGTACAGCTCTGTGCTGCATGCACGGCCTATGGGGCATCTCCCGGGAAGGACAGGTGCTGCATGTGATTAGTACGCAGCCTCCGTCCTTCTCTATGGGAGTATGCTGCCGCCCTACGCTCACCCGCCCTGCACGTCCGTGCGGGTGTCCGTACTCATACACTGAGAGGATGGATCCTGTCTGCGTCCGAGCTGGGACACCCGCGCCCATTCTGACCTGCACTTGGGGTGAGCGTAGGGCGGTGTACGGCCACGTACTCCCATAAAGCACAGGGACTGTACTAATCATACGCAGCACCTGTCCTTCCCGGGAGCTGCCCGATACAGCCGTGCACGGAGCTGTACGTGCGGGCCAATTCTCGTGTGAATGAGGACTAAGGGTTAACTGCTTGTTTTTGTTTAAGTGCTAAAAAAAAAAGTTATATTCACCTGAACACTGTTTGGCTGGAGTGCTGCCCATAGCCTGTGCAGAGAGCAGAGCTGTGGGAGGGATCCGTCAAGCCCCACCAGCTACAGGCTGTGTGCAGTAAACTAGGAAGGGGTACAAGACCAGTCACCCTGCACAAGGGGAACAAGTGACAGGTCTTAATAACAGGAAGCTCCTGCGCAAGGGAAACGTTTCACACTGGATTACTGCACAGACCTTGAAGAAATGCACGAAGCTCATCGAGATTCCAGTAAAAAATACTCCCACACCTTGGATTTAGAGAATATTTGCTTATCCCGGAGATCAGCATTAGACTTTGGGATTTCCAGATGATCAGATATGCCATTCTTTTTATTGTAAGAATGCTGGTACTGTCCTTCTGTTATTATCTTTTGATTTTGGTGTCTAAGAACAACTGTCATTTTTCTGCTATCTTTCATCTTTTAGCTGCAGTGCTGTACAGATGATCAAAATCTAATCATGATTGCGGGAGAGAACCTTTGTCCGGAAGGAATAAAAAATGCGGTTAGTATACAGGAAAACATGTCATTTGTGAGTGAAAATAAATGGAAACACTGAAAGTCTGTTTGACTGCTGTGGGGGGAGGAGGGGGGATTCATGAAAACTGGAGCAGACAGAATCTGGAGCAGTTGCCTATGGCAACCAATTAGATTCTCTTTAATTTTCAAAGCTTAACTGAACAAACTGAAAAGAGATGCTAATTGGTTGGGCAACTGTTCCTGATTTCTGTCTGCAGTGTTTTTATTAGTACAAAGTTTTTGGGGGTTTAGTTTGCGAATCTGAACACATCTGTAGTTTTCTTTTGGCTCATGCACACAGTTCATGGAGATCAGTAAACCTGCTCTGCCTTTAAATCTGTAAAACCAAAATAGAAAAAAACTGACGTCTTTTACACTGTAGTCATGTAAGCATTTGTGCTAGCATTTACATGCTCACAGCACAAATGCACTCTATTGGAGCTGTTGGTGTCCTAGCAAGCAAAGGACGCAAGGTGGCAGTAGACAACTGTGCCTTGGCAGCCAAAGCATGCTGGATGACAATAGCCTCCTAGGTAGCTCAAGCTGCCTATAGATCTTTGTTGATAGGATGCAGACCCGGCGCTACAATATAGGCAGGCCCAGCAACTGCGCCAGCGGCGGGGAGGGGCGCCAGTTGGGGCGGAAAAATGCAACTGGCCGCAAGATGGACGCGGCGGCTCTGATCACACCGGTCAGCGCAACCTCTCTCTCCTGCCGGCCGCGGCGGCTTCAGAGCGGCCAGGAG